ACCGGTGTTCGGAGATTGTGGAGGACCACATAAAAACAATACGTGGGGGGCTAGATGCAAATCTTCTGTACCCCGCGGATGATGTTAGAACAGAATGATTGACGTGCTCGGCGGAGATATGCATGATGTGCTTGAGTTGTTTCGGCATCGGCTTTCGCACCCGCACGGAAGGACTGGCATTTCTTCAGGATGGCTATCAATACATGCTTGATGTGGTGACAGAGAAGTCGTTTGCTGGTTGTAGTATTATAGAACCCTCGTGCATTCACCAATTGCTCACTGTTATGTGGCTGTTTCTGTGACACCGTTCAGACTTGTTATCGTGCCCTGAATCGAAGCCTAATCACTTGCATTCAACCGTTTCCCAAATACAGAGGGAGTACCGTTTCTCGAAACCAACCATGGCCACCGTCGTCCTCCCCGCTGGTCGTGACACAGTCGTTGAGAAGCTCAATGGCTTGTCAATCACAGAGCAGTATGAGGTTCTTCCAACTCCAGAAGTCGAGCAAGTCAAGTTCGACTCAGCATCAGAGGTCCCAAAGTCCATACCGGAGGAACCTTCACCGGCTGTCACCCAACCAGTTGCAAATGTCAAACCATTGATCCCAGAACCTTCAAGAAACCCAATTCCATCATACCCCAAGTCACGCATTTCACTCATCGACCGCTTTATCGACGAGCCACGAGCCCTCAAGGTCGCAGTCATTGGAGGTGGTTTGGCTGGCATCAACGCCGGTATTTTGTTGCCAGCAAAGGTTCCCAACATTAACCTCATCATCTACGAGAAAAATGATGATTTTGGCGGCACATGGCTTGAAAACGTCTATCCAGGCGTGAGATGCGACATCCCCTCGCACGTCTACCAATCCACCTTTGAGCCCAAAACCGACTGGTCAGATCAATTCGCCCCCGGAGCAGAAATCCGCGACTACTGGCAATCTGTAGCCCGTAAGTACGACGTCCACCGCTTCGCCCGCTTCCGCACCCGCGTCGACGATCTCACCTGGGACGCCGCAAACTCCGTCTGGCAGATCAAACTCACAGACCTCTCCACCAACACCACCAAAACCGAAACGGCAGACTTTGTCCTCACGGCCATTGGCAGATTCAACGCCTGGAAGTTACCCTCCTACCCCGGCATCGACACAGTCTACAAGGGCGTCCTCAGTCACGCATCCCACTGGGACGACTCCTTCGACCCGACAGGGAAACGTGTCGCAGTAATCGGCAACGGCGCTTCGGGCATTCAACTGGTCGCCAACCTACAAAAGTCAGTCGCCCAGTTAGACCACTACGCGCGCAACAAAACCTGGATCGCAGGTTCCTGGGCCGGGGACGAACGCACGCTCGGGCCGCAACCGTACACGGAAGAACAAAAGCAGCTTTTCGCCAGGGATCCAGCAGCTTACCTCGCCTTCCGCAAGGACCTGGAAGACAAGTACTGGCGCCGGTTCGGTGCCTTCTTCCGGGGGTCCTCGCTCAACTCTGACCTTCGCGAGAGGTTCATCGAGATCATGCGCACCCGCCTGGCCAAGAAACCCGAGCTGCTGGAACACATCGTCCCCGATTTCAGTCCCAACTGTCGGAGACTGACTCCGGGACCGGGGTACCTCGAGGCCATAACGGAGGATAACGTCGAGTACGTCCGGGACCCGATCTCCCACTTTACGGAACGGGGCATCGTCACCAGGGACGGGAAGGAAAGAAGAGTAGATGCCGTGTTCTGCGCCACGGGCGCCAACGTCAACATGGTCACTCCCTTCCCCATCAGAGGAGAAAACGGGGTTGATCTGAGGACGCTGTGGGATCCAGAGTCCAAGGAGAGCTACGGGTTTCCCTACACTTACTTGGGACTTGCCACGCCCGGCTTTCCCAACTTGCTTTTCGTCCACGGGCCGCACGGGACGGGTCCCTCGGGCACCGTGCCTCACTCTGTTGAGAATCAGATCGTCACGTTTGCCAAGATTTTGAGAAAGGCTGCGAGGGAAGGGATCAGGACTATGCAGCCCAGCAAGAAGGCGGCGGATGAGTTTGTGGAGTATAGTGATGCCTTCTTTGCTGCGACTGTTTTGAGTGATAATTGCAGTAGTTGGTATAATGGTGGAAGACCGGGGGGTAGGATTCACGGGATCTGGCCGGGGAGTGCGGGACATGTCACGGCTGTGAGGAGGGAGCCGAGGTGGGAGGATTGGGAGTATGAGTATCTTGGCGAGGAGGGGAACAGGTTCAGCTGGTACTTTGGGAATGGGTGGACGAGGAAGGAGGCTGAGGATAATTCTGACATGACGGGCTATCTGAGGGTGCCTGGGGAGGTTGATATCAAGGATTTGCATGAGAGTTGGTGGGATTTGCCCTGAGGTAGCATTGAAAGGAGTTGAGATTTTGCTGTGATCAGAAATATCAAGTTCAGTTGAATCAGATCTAATCAAGAAACAAGTCTTGAAACTTTGAACCCGAGGATGGCCCCTGATTCGGAACCTGTCTTATTTGTGGAGACTGCATCCTCTGGCTTCAGAAAGAAAAATTCAATAGACGCAATCAAGACCTGGTGGAAAAAAATCTCTTTTGTGTAGTAAATAGGGTTGCTGCTGCAGCACTGAGACCCTGAAGTATGCCGCAATTTTAGTCTCATCTTGCAAATACCAACTTCCACAAAACAGATCTGCAACAAAACTGCCGGATCCAGTACACGAATTCAAAGCGTGGATGATGATACTTGGCGTTGTAACTTCAACACTGTCAGATACTAGTCTCTCGAATATAATAGACTCGGCACAGGGTTACCAGGTAACAGGAGCCGACAGGAACGAGATGGGGGTCAACTGTGTCAAATGCAACTTAACTGCGTGGGTGGCGCCATTACAATTGGCCGCTACCAGTTCCCTAGCCGTCGGGGTATACTTTGGCTGCTGCTACTAGTATTACGTGCTTCCAGGGGTGTGATTTGCAACAAGATCCTTCACCGGACTCTCGGCCGGGCTCGGGAGTCTGTGCTATTCACCAATGTAGTAAAGAGTTTTGATAGAGAAGACATCAGTACTGGGGGCAAGGGGGTGCCAGAACTACAAAACCCGGTGGCATATATCATCAAATATTCCCCAGGGCCATCTTGAAGGTTCGGAGTCTCATCCAAAACGGCCGCTCAAGAAGAATCAGAGACAAAATGTCAACTCCAAACACCAAATCTCCAAGTCGTCACAATGAGGACGAAGTCGAGCCTCCAAAGTCCGAGCAGGTGACAGGTATGCGGCTCAGCAAATTTTTAATAAAACGCCACAGCACACCACCCATATCACTAACATGCACATCACCTTACCAGTCCGATGGCACCGCGGCACCTTCTTCAACATGACCATCCTTGGTCTCTGCAACCTAGCCGCTCCCGGTATCTGGGGCGCCATGAACTCGCTAGGCGCAGGTGGCGCCGCCAGCCCGGAGCTCATCAATGCAGCTAACGCCCTGACGTTCTGCATGATGGTTGTGTCGTGCTACTTCTCCAGCGTCTTGGTGCGCTACATTGGCATCAAGGGTGCTCTCATTTTTGGAACGTGTGTATCACCGAAAGTAAACAAAGCCCCTGACGAGCAGACCCCCTGACGATTTTGCAGCATTGGCTATGCTCCGTATGCAGCAGGACTGTACACCAACAATCGGTTCGGTAATGAGTGGCTCGTTCTCCTCGGCGCCGCGCTCTGCGGTATCTCAGCTGGTGTCTTCTGGATGGCTGAAGCAGCCATCGCCATTGCCTATCCTGAGCCCTGGAACCGTGGTAAAGCCCTGGGCTACTGGTTGACTTACCGTCTTTCCGGGCAAATTCTTGGTGGCGCCATTAATCTCGGTCTAAACGCTGACAACAGCGAGGCGGGCAAGGTCTCGTACACTGTCTTTCTGGTGTTCATCTCCATCCAGTGCACCGGTCCGTTCGTCGGCTTCTTTTTGAACAGCCCGGAAAAGGTTGAGCGCAAGGACGGCAAGAAGGTGGACTTGAGCATCACCGAGAATCCCTGGTCTGAGATTCGGGAGACAACGAGATTGTTCTTTGGCAAAAGATTCTTGTTGATTGTGCTGTTTATCGGTCAGGCTGTATTTGCCGAGGCTGTGTTCTTTACGTATCTTTCGAGTGAGTCAAGTTTCTCATGATCCATTTGGCTTTGTTGACCATGAACTGACAAAGCGCAGTGTGGTTCTCTGTTCGCTCTCGCGCGCTGGGATCTTTCCTGTCTGGTATTGTCGCCGTCATTGCCGGCAATCTCCTGGGGGTAAGTTTGATCTCTGCGTCTTGTGAACTGAATTACAAGCTGACTGACTCTACTAGCATTGGATTGACCGCACCAAGATTGCGCTCAAGACTCGGGCTCGGTCCGGCTTCTGGGTAATCGTGATTCTGCAGGGAGCTTGGTGGACTTGGGCAACCATTCTCGTCACCCGCTACCAAAAGTCTCAGCCAACATTCGATTGGGTTGATGCCAAGTTCGGCGAGGCTTTTGGCGTCTTTATCTTTTTGACCGCCGGCTTCCAACTCAACTATCTCTTCTTGTGAGTAATCCACCAGCATCCCTCAACTGCATCACCGCTGACACAATGTCCCTGGAGGTACTTCATGATCCACAATATGGCCAAGGATGAAGCTGAAGTCATTCGCTATGCCGCGCTTCTTCGTGGAACCGAGTCAGCCTGGCAGGCTCTCGCTTACGGACTCGAGTCCCTGACCGTCTTTGCAGAGGTTGGCGGTGTTTACATGAACTTTGGACTTTGGGCTGTTGCCATTCTCCCTGCCTGGTTGGTCATTCGACAGTTTGGCACCTTCAAGGTGGAGCAAGTGGACGACCGGCCATCTTCGATTGAGACACCGAGTTTGAAGGGTTCTCATGATGAATAAAGCAACAAGCTGTAGAACTAGTATTGAAGTATTTACTATTTGGATAGGGCGATTTGCAAAGTGGCGACCTAGCAGCTCCATATTCAATGATTAAGAACTCTGTTAACAGTAAATGACGTTCGCCCGTATAGCTCAGTGGTAGAGCGCATCACTCGTATCAATTTGCGTCATGATGAGGTCCGCGGTTCAATCCCGCGTGGGGGCATTATTTTTAACATTATAATTGATACGTTTCTCATCTTCAATCTCGATAACTTCATTTTCGACGTGTGGTCCATTTTCTTTTACTTGCAGGTTCTTTTGGCCGGGGTTGGCTTTCCATGATGCCGGGCCACAGAGAATAGGCCAGAAGACCCATATCAAAGTTTCAACCTCTTTGTAGAATCGAATCATTTCAAGTCATAACGTGTCCAGATTTCCAACTGGAGTCCACTTGAACCGGCATATCGGAACCGAACATGGCCACTAATAATGCATATGCTTGATAATGCCCCGATGGTACGCCATTTTCAGTCAGTACAATCATTGGCAGAAAGTCGAGGTTGTACTGGACGCTATGCATCACACCATATGTTTGGCAATGGCAACATGGTGTTCAACGACACCCACTACCCCACATCGTCTTGTATGTGATATGGAGGCAAGAATTGCGAATGGAAAGAAATGGGACTTTGAATTATATTTATAAAGCCAATTTCTTGTGACGGAGATGAATCATGTCCAGCTCAACTTTATATTCCTTATTTTTATTCCTTCACCCATCACACCAGTACAAATTCAATTAGTGCTTTCAATATGACGGACAACCATCAAGACTCGTCAAAGCCACATGATCTCGGCAATGGCAAGAAGCAAATCTTTCTCAACGCCTTCGACATGAGCACGGTCGGCCACTTATCTCCCGGACAGTGGAAGAATCCCGTCGACAAATCTGCAACCAAGCGGCGGCTTGAATACTGGATCGAACTCGCAAAGCTCCTCGAGCGAGGAGGCATCAACGCTCTCTTCCTAGCAGACACATACGGCGGTTACGACACCTACGAAGGTAGCGTCGACGAGTGCATCCGCAGAGCGGCCCAATGGCCCATCACTGATCCCTCAATCGTGAGATTTCTTTCCTAGGTTCCCAACTTCCCTCTACTTATAGTTCAGAACAACTGACACAATCTCATCCAGCCTATCTCAGCAATGGCAGCAGTCACAAAAAACCTGTCCTTCGCCATAACAGCCTCAACCTCCTTCGAGCCCCCTTACCTCCTCGCCAAGCGCTTCTCGACCCTCGACCACTTCACCCAGGGACGCATCGGCTGGAACATCGTGACCTCTTGGAAGAAATCAGCATTCAAAGCCATCGGCCTCGATAACCCCATCGAGCACGACGAGCGATACCGCCAAGCAGACGAGTACCTCCGTGTTCTTTACAAGTACGTTTCTATTTTTCTAACCCCGACCTTTCTCTATTTTTTCTTCTCCTTTTCTAACTTTTGCTTTGTCAAAAAGACTCTGGGAATCGTCCTGGTCCCCAACAGCCCTGTCCCCAAACCCCTCGATCGACCAATACGTAGACCCCTCCCAAGTCCGCACGATAAACCACCAGGGCAAATACTTCTCGCTAAACGCCAAGCACATCGTCGACCCCTCGCCTCAGCGGACCCCCTTCTTATTCCAAGCCGGAACTTCCTCTGCAGGATCATCCTTCGCAGCAACGCACGCGGAAGCTATCTTTGTATCGGGCCACTCACCTTCCGTCCTCCGTCCCAAAATCGACAAGATCCGCGCCCTTGCCAAAGAACAAGGGCGTGATCCCAGGTCCATCAAGGTTTTTGCCACGTTCACGCCCGTAATCGGCAACACGGACCAAGACGCCCAGGCCAAATTTATAGAACTCAAGAAATACGCATCAACAATCGGCGGGCTGGTGTTGGTTTCTGGCTGGACGGGCATCGACCTCAGCAAGCTCCCCCTCGACAAAGAAATCACCGCGTCCGATTCGGCAGAAGCGCACAAAGTAACTTCCATCCTAGACACGTTCACCACCCGCAGCGAGGAACACCCAAGGTGGACGCCCAGACTGGTGGCTGAACACGCTGCTATCGGTGGGCTTGGGCCTGTCAGTGTAGGAAGCCCGGCCACGGTAGCGGATGAGCTGGAGAGATGGGTTAAGGAAGCGGATGTGGATGGGTTTAATATCGGGTACGTGACTACGCCGGGTACATTTGAGGAAGTGGTGGATTTGTTGGTTCCTGAGTTGAGGAGGAGGGGGATATACCCCGAGCAGACTGAAGAGGAGGGAGAAGAAGGGTTGACGGCGAGAGAAAAGATTTATGGAAAGGGTCAAAAAGGGTTGAGAGATGACCATGTGGGTAGTAAGTATAAGTGGGATGTTTATGTTGAAGATGAGCCGTATGCTGCAGAGGAGAAGAAGGAGGAGGAAGCGGTTGCAGTATAGATATATTTAGTTAGTGCTGTCTTATCTTGACTTTTCAAGTTCTCTGAGTGCCGCTGAATCAATTCAGAGTACCCTTGACCATGGAACTGAAGGGTCCGTTAATGTATGCAGGCTGTCTCCAGTTACTCCAATCGTGGTTCAGCATGCCCCAGTCCTCGTCGTAATCCTGTTTTCCTGAACGGATGTAGTAACTCCCTGCCAGCACCCAGATAGTCCACCCGGCCTTTTGCGAGGGAAGATAAGTGGACAAACAGCTGGCATAAGTATTCTTGTAAGTGTTGGCATCCATGGCGAAACCAAACTCTGTCAGCATGACGGGGAAGACATTGACTGCGCTGCTGCTCATCGCCTTGAAACCCTTGGAGTAGAGGTTATTCTGCAAACTGCTGCAGCTGTTGATACCTGTTTCGTAATTGTGGATTTCCAGAACCAGCTTATTGGCATATCCGGGAAAGTCGTTGAAGCTAAACTTGCCGGTGCCTGGGGTAAGGGCCGTTCCCTCGAATACGGGGTTGATGTACGTGTCGTAATTGAGGCCGGAAAGAAAGATGAGCACATCCTTGTTGGCGTTATTCACTGCTTGGGCGCCTTGCTTCATGTATTGATACCATGTCTGCCAGTTGTATGTGTTCTTGGCAGCTTGGTTGTTCGACGGTTCTCTGAGCTCGTTGCGCAGGCCCACTGACACGAAACCTGGCCACGATTTTCCCTGCTACTGTCAGTTCGGTGCATCAGCATCAGATTCTGTGCATAAAAACATACGTGGTCTGCCATATATCCCAGCCCTCTCGTCCAGTTGGCAACCGAAAAGTACTTGTCTCCAAACCAAGTGTTTCCATCGTCAGCACCGCAACACCACGTCCCCTTCGAGATGTGGTTGTCAAGGTGGATAAAGATTTGCTGCTTCGACAATTCCTGCGCCACAGCATCAAAGACCTGCAGTCTTGTTGTTGAAGCGGTAAACCTGGGGTTCTTGGCCAATATCTGATTGAGGATCTTGGCGCCATTGGCTTGTCCAAGTGCTTGAACGAGCGCTTGTTGTATCGTGATATCCTTGCCACCGTTTGAGTAAATCTCGTCAACCATTTGGATGGCAAAGGTCAACCGGACGGCATTGATGCCGATGGACTTGATCTTTTGGACGATGAACTCGATGGATTGGTATTGGAGACCCTCTGGAAACATGGCATCGTTGTGGCCTGGCCAATTGGTACCCGCGTAGGTCAAGTTCTTGCCAGTGCTGTCGCGAATGTAGCGACCCTGAGTGACCAATGGACCGTTGGGCCAAGCCGCGCGTTTCAAAGAATCATCTTGCTGAGGGTGGTGGCTTGGAGCAGCAAGAGCAATGCTTGCGAGCGCAAGAATAGTAGTAAAAAACTGCATGATTCCGGGATAAACAAGAAGCCAACCCAAAGCTGCGGTGTCGTCACGAGCACGAATATGGCAACAGATGGGATGTGGATTTCGGCGACTTTAAGTAGCCAGCCCGGAGAATAAGAACCTTGATAAATTGATGTGCATATTGAACGGCTGATATAACAACGAGGGGCCTTTGATGGCATGTCTTGGACCGGGAAATGGGAAGGTCATGATACGGCTGTAACTGACGGGAGAAATGAAGTGGAATGGAGAAATTGGACGCGTCGAATCATGAAGAGTTCTGAAATCCTTAACCAGGTTTAAGGAAACCAATTGTTATAAAACGGTACCTGCAGCAAAGACATGTGAACAAGAGCCGGCTCCGACTTCCCCGGCAGATGATCGTCTCTCAAAATGGCCATTGACAGGAAAAGTATGATTGAGAGTTAAAGTTGGGATTCTGCCGGGATTTGGCAAGGGGGGCTTTTTGCCGAGACTGCCACTGAACATTTAGCCCCACTTCCCCACACTGGGCCTCAGTGACTGCCCGTGGTCACTGGGGAAATGGAAGCTGCCAAGATTCACCTCCAGAGCTGCATTTCTCCACGAATCTTCTTTCTCAAAGACGCACCGCCAAAGTTGGATCTGCTGTTTTGTTTCATTCAATCTCTTGCTGATCTGATCTAAGTTACAACGCCATCCAAATCTCAAAAATGCTTTGCTTGCTAAAATCACATCCAAATAGCATCGCAGTTTTACAATGCTCAACATAACGCCCGCCCGTGCCGCCACAACCAGGAACAGTCTCAATCTTACACAATGATTTGCCTGTAGCGCCCTTAGATATCCCTCTTCCTAAACTCAACCATCACACCCTCCTTCCAGCTAGTAAAAGTATCAACAAGTTGCATCTCTTCCTTCCGGTGTCGTCCCCAAACGCCCCTCTCGGGACCACCCTCGGCCGGATCCTGGACTCCAACCGCCTTCCTCAGGTCATACATCCACAACACTCTCGCAAGGGTTATGCTCATCTCAACATACGCCAATCCCTTTCCGATGCATCCACGCGACCCGATTGAAAAGGGACAGAAAGCGCGCTTCGCGGCCTTGACTTTTACTTCGTCGCCAATCCACCGGTCAGGCTTGAAGGAGAAGGGGTCAGGGTAGTACAAGGGGTTATGGTGGATGGTGTAATGCGGAGTTCCAACGATTGTACCGGCGGGGATTTGTTCACCGTCGATTGTCATGCCGCCTGAGAGTACCTCACGGGGGAGAATGCCGCCTACGGATGGGGAGAGACGCATGGCTTCGTCGATGCAGGCGCGGAGATAGGTGCATGAGTTTAGGGGATCGCCGATGTGGATGTCTTCGAGGGAGGAGAATACGGAGCGGATCTC